TGGGAAGGTGGTTCAATTTAGTTGCTTACTGTTCGTATATGGCCCAGGTTCCGAGATTTATATTTACCAAAACATCAGGCCTGGTTTCGCGGAACCCCTAGCGGTTGCATTCAAAACGCTGAAGCCCGTCGAAGGTCTGATTAGCTTTAAGGAACCGGACTACAATTTATTCTTTGATCAGAGTGATTCCCGAGATTGTGTTCCTAAGATGCAGAAAACTGGTCCATGATGGTGAGCCCATTGTCGTTATCAATGATTGGGGGTTACGTGTACTGCACGGTGATGCTGGTATGAGAACTTCCTCCTCTGTATTTATGATTAATTCTAACTTGCCGCATCGGGGGGTGAAGATGTCTGCAATTCGATAAATACTTAATTTTAGTGGTGGCATTCAGTGCGAAATCGTCAGCGAAAAGAACCGATTATCCTGGTTATGAGGAAGAACGTTGCCAAAACATAAACGGCGGATATTTAATAACTTCCAGCGGTTTGACCGTTCAGATCGATTCTTAGTCTTCCCTCAGGACAGACTTAAAACAGCATTGTAGAGCACGACTGGGCCAAGTATGTAACCCTTCTTTATCTCAAGTGGCAACAAATGCTCCGGTGGGCAGGACGCGCAGCATGATTCCGGCGTGACGTCGGATTACCATCATTTGAAGCTTCTAAATGCCCTCTTTTGATTCATGGCGTTCAAGAAATCGCCGGGATTTAATATATTCTGTAAGCATAAGACTGGAAATACGATTTTGGCCGTTTATAGTTTACGGGACTCACATTCAGTTTCTTGTAGTGGTCGTTTAGGTGTACAGTAAGACAAAGAGAATGGCAGTGACAATTTTACTAGCAACGCTAAGGACGATTTTCACGACGATTGCTGCAGATTCCATCGTTTACTTTCCGCTAACAGAGGAAGACAATGGTGGCATCCTTAAAGCGCTATGGCATTTGTCTATACCTTCAGTCTCCCGGAATAGAACAATTATTTTACCCAGGAGGTCTGTTGTTATTCAATGGGTGGAGGCTAATTGATCACAGGTGATTAGTTCAGTGTCTGTTTGCTCCTGCTAACAATTAACCTTGAAAATTGATATTCCACTGCTTAAATCAGGGTTCTGAAATAAATTGCAAGGCCGAGTGGACAACAGGTATGCGATGCCGTAATGAGGCTAGGTCGGTTAATACCTCTCACACGGCATTGACCGCTAACCGGCCTCATAGGACACAAACTGATGCTGTAAGAACTCGTCAAGGCAGAAAGGGTGTGGACTCACCGCTACAGAAGTCTTCCGTTTGGGTTCGGGCGACTTGATGGCAGCCGCAGCAACACTGGTAGGCGATAGTTTATCGGTCAACTGATCGGACGACATTAGGGGCCCACTATCGATCTCGCCGGTAGGTCGTCGTTGGCGCTTTGTGCCAGAGGCGTTGGAATTCTCCGGAGACCTTGGTGATGTCTTATCAACCTCACCTGACATCTGGCGGGAAGGTTTTCTTGTTGCCGTTTTCTAACAAAGACACAAGAGTTAAGCATTGTGCTAACTAAAGACCATTCTAGCAAACTACTTATATGATCAGCCTACTTTCAGACTATAGAAGATGGGCGAAGCAGGACCAGAGGAACTTGAGTTATGTGAGAATCAGATTCAATGCAAATTCT